ATGATATTTATTGCTATATACACATATTTGCCAGATTTTTTATTCTGATGAATTGTTAAAGGTAGTCACAAATTAGACATCTGCATCTGACTCACTATCTATATCTACCGGATTCCAGTCAGAAATATTGATATTAGATTTTCTGCTTATTAAAGTATTAATGACTTCGTTACTAATAGAATAACAATTCTTGATATTGAGATTCTGTAGATTGTGACATGAATGTGTTATTGTCTGAATAGATGTATCAGTAATATTATAATATTTGAGTTAAAGTCCTTCAAGCTTAGAACAAAGCTGTGTTATTTTGCAAATAGATTTATTAGAAATATCGAAATAGCAAACAAGATCAAGATATTTGAGATTTAGATTGGATTTTGCAATTTTTTTAACTGATATATCAGTAATTTCTTGGCAAGCTGCTAACATATAGCTTTTCATATTTGGGTATGCTGAAGCAATTGCACATACCCCATCATCAGTTATTTTCTCACAGACAATCTCAATTATAGATACATCAGTGATATGTTCATTATAATCATAACTTAGATATTATAAATTGGTACATGAATAAGCAACTTCTAGTAATGATATATCAGTTATTTTAGAGGAGCTAAGTTTCAGATACTGTAGGTTTGGACATAAATGAGCGATTTTACATAAAGTTGTATCTTTCATATTACTACATTTACTATATCATTTTATACTTTTACTATTATATGATATATTAAGAGATTCCAAGACATTTTTGTGTAATCTTACTAATGACTCTATCAGATAAATCACAATACTATTTGATATTTAGATTGTGTAAATTGGGACAGGATCTAGTGATCTCATATAGTATATCACTAGAAAGCTTACAACTATAGAGATGAAGTTGAAGTAAATATAAAACATGTAATTTATATTTTCCACGCATTACTTTTTTAAATTTTCTTTACCGTATACATGATTTTTTTAGATCACCAGTAAATTTGGCTCCTTTCCATAATATTGAAGCAGAGCATAAATATCACAACTGGTTAACAAATAAGGTCAGATATAGTGCTTTTTCTTTAGCAAGATATGAGAAAATTTTGGTTAATATTTCAAACAAGACAAGTAGGTATAGATTATTAGATAATATCAGTACTTATCTTTATAGATCTGTTTATTATATAAAAAGAAAATTATATCAAATATATTGGTAAAGCTAGCTCTTCTAAGAATTGGAAGTGAGTAAATATCTCTTTTCAATCAAAGTAGTGTGAATATAGGATTCTATATCCGATTTGAAAAGTATCTCAATAAGATCTATGCCTTGTCTTTTATATATGTCCTATTTTTTTTGGTCACACTCCCTTTGTGAATCCAAATCTATTTTCCCTCTCTTATGGAACATTGAATTGTGATAAAAATGTTGTATGCCCTGGAATTCGAATGCCAATTTTAGCTTGTCATTATATCTATCAAGTCTTAATCTATTTAAGAACTTTAGTGTATATGGCGAAAATTTCTTATCTAATAAATCCTTAAAAATATATCTACAGTATCTTTCATTAGTGTAATAAGAACAAATTGGGTATCACTCAAATTTCCACACCAAGATCTTATAAGGTGCTTTCCACTGATGAAGTTTGTTCTCACAAGACCAGAGATATATATTTACATTATTTATCCACCCAGTTTTTATAATACAATGTCCACCATGCTTCTTGGCATATTACTGTGCTTTGTCAAATTCATTATTAGAAATATAAATAAAGTGACCTAATTTAGTATGTTGATTTTCTGATAATATACTTTGGAGAGGAAGTTGAAGTATATTAATATTCACATATAAGAGCTCTTCTCTCACAAATACTCTAGAAGAAGCATATTTATCATCATCACTCCTGAGATAATATAAGACTGGCTCATTTTTTGATACTATAATTTTTATGATAGGATGAATAGAAGATGAAAATACTGGATCAGTCACATAACATATCATTTTGAAGTTCCTTTCTCATTCAGTATTAGTGAGAAGATAGTGAATCATATCACCTTTCTTTAATTTTTCCTTGTCCTTCCTAATAGGTCACTTTCATAATACTGATAATTTAGATTTAATCTTTTCTAACATAATTGCTTTTATTGGTGCTAACCTCCACTTTAAGGATCCAGGAGCTTTAATAAGATGCATAGGATAATTATTAAGATAATCTATTATTTTGGGTAAATTCTTAATCCAGGCTCTTATTAATTTAGAATCTGAGGATATACTTTCAATAGTATATTGGGTCTTATAAAGAATCTTTGCTAGAGTTTTATTGAATCTCTTCACAATTATCATATCATGATGAGAATATGGACCAATAACTTGGATTATAACATTATACTTTTTCATTAACTGGCTTGTTTATCCTACCCATTCTTTCCTACCATCAGCTTGTAAAAGTGTTAGATATGTAAGAGAGTTATTGGGATCATCATAAATTTTCCTGAATGCTTTAGCAACCTCTGAACTTTTCTTTGACATGAGAGAAACTGAGGCTTTAAATCAGCTAGCCACATCTATTATATTAAGTACTGCTATTTATTTTTTATTTTTGTAGTGGTTATAAGTAAGAAATAAGATATTGAATATATGTACACAATTCAGATGTGATATCCACCTGTAATTGGTTCTAGTAATATTTTTTGGAGGAGACTTATAAATTTGGTACTGCTATTGATGTTCCAACTATTCATGAATTTTTTTATATGGAAAATTATATCCCTCATTCTTGATAGCTTTATATAACTTTTAAGTATTGGAATAATAGTCAGTAGGATTATAATAAATTAACTGGCAAATTAGAGCTATTTTTTCATCACTGCTGATTGTAATAGTAGCCTGGCTCATTTTGATATATTTCACTATAGTATTGTAGTAAAGTCAGAAGATAAGTCAATATAATATGCCATAAAAAATAATCATGGTATTTTGTTAATCTCATTCTAATAGAATATCTCGTGAGTCAAGTTCTGATCAAGAATTAGAACTGGAGCAGGTAAATCAAGTTTTGAGAGATGAGTTATCTAATAAAGTTTTAATCAATAGGTCGAATAAGAAATACATAAATGAGCTGAAGCGTAAATATACCAGATGTGAGAAAGAAATTCAATCTCTTAATAAAGAACTAAAATAGCTAGAGAATGCTTTGGAGAAAGAAAAGGCAGAGTTGAGATCAGAAATATCTAGTCTTTATATACAAATTTATAATACTAAGAAAGAGATCAGAGATAAGGTATCTCACATTACTAATATAGAAAGACAGTTACAAGAATCAAAAGAGCAGATTCAAAATCTGAGATATAGGATTAAAATTATTTCTTCAAGAAGAAGCTCACCAGATTTATATATCCAGACTTCAGAAGAACAAGATACTAATATGGCAATACTTGATCTTTTTATACTTGTCGACTGAGACTTAAATTAACTTGAAAATCATCTTAGAGGGGATGATATATCACTAAGAAATCCTACTAATATTATATAGGAAATCTGTAGTTCTTTAGATATAATCCAACTTAATTATCAAAATACATATCAAGATATAGATGATGTCATAGATCAACAAGATGATAGAGATAATCAGATAGTCCAGTTATAGCAGGAGATTAATGGCTATAGATAATGAAATAGAGATCTTTAAAATCAAGTTAACCAGCTTACTCAAGAATGAGACATCTTTCAAGCTCAAGTAGTCCAACAATAACAAAATCTTGAATTATTAAATCAGCAAAATATTGTTTTTCAAAGACAAATAGAGGAGATAGAAAAATATTGCAATTTTTAGAAGTTAAATGCTATCTATATCAAAACTCAAAAAGACAAATGTATTAGTTCATTATTATATTAACAATTTGCATTATAACTCCTGAATAAGTGATCAAACCAGCAATTAGAATGGCAGTTGTAACAATGCCATAATGATAGGATTTTCTTATAATTTTGGTATGATTGCATTATTCCAAGATATGAAAAATAGAAAGCTAAAACTCATGATGCTTGGTAAATAATTTTGAATTTGAATCAACAAATATTTGCGCTTCATAATAATCTATCTATAAATATACAAACAAATATGACAACAATCCTGACACCAATATTTTCAGGTGGTTATGATGAAGATATTAATATTTTTATTAGTTAATTATCAACATATTTAGCTGATATAGATATAAATCTAGTTGATGGAGCTTGAGATAGAGCATTTGATATTCTTCAAGGATATTTATTTGGATCAGCATTAGATTGGTTTGATCAAAAAATTCTTGGTAAGTAGTGGAAACTTCATAATATTCTTGCAAATTATGGACAAGCCAACATAGCTGGTATTCAAGGGTATACTATAATACAGATGAATACTTCTAATAGTTTTAGAAATCTCTCAATTGTCCATACCTATACTAATATTCCTGCTAATAATACTATAATGATTGATAATTTAATGATTCTTGTTAAAAGTTTTAATAAAGATTAGAGATTGACTGAAGAATAACTATCAGATAAATCTGTCAATACAATAAATACAAGTAATAATAATACTATAATATTAGATAATATATAAATTGGACAGATATTATATTAGCTCAAGAATAAATATCCTACAGTACTTAATGAAAAACATAGTCTAGTATTTGGATTATTGATACAAGGTGATGACCCTTTAGAAATATTTTATATAAAACTTAGAAAATATGGTAATATGTTAAATCATGATGAGAAACAAATCAAAGGTTAATTTTTACGTGACTTATCATCTGATCTAGAGGATGATACAGATCATATTGGTACTGAACAATCTTTAAAAGATCTTTTTACAACATTAAAATGAATTGAAATATGTAGATTGAAAAAAAGACTAGGATTAACATCTAAAATTTCATAATCAAAATATAAATCATCTCTATCTAAAGATTTAAAGAATATTTATTCTGGAGATACTGATTTAACTGAAGCAAATGTGGAAAGAATTATGAAAGCTTAAATGACCTCAATACAACTAACTTCTCCATATTTACAGTTTTCATCACAACAAATTTCTCAGCCAGACTTACAAGCTATAACCAAATCAATTCAAGATATCTTGGCTAGAGCTGTTAAAACTTTGGAGAATAGAAAATCTTCTTATAAGCAAAAATCAGATAATACGAAAAAGGTAGAAGATATTATTGTTAGATATTTTTTAGATGAGATGCAAAAATAAAATTCCAATATGGATCCTGTTGAACTTTATGATTATAATCCAATAGATGATCTTACAGATAGTATGGCAGGATTATCATTAAATAAAGTTATAGCTAATGCTATAAAAAAATTGATTTATATTATTAAAAAAATAACTTAGTATAGATACTCAGGATGCTATAGAATTGGTTATCATTCGAATTCTTCTAAGTATTCAAAAAATAAAAAAAAGAGTAAGTCCAAGAGTAAATTCAAGAAAAAAATAATCAATAGGATTAATGCGAATTCAAGTTCTGAATCTGATGCTAACTCTTCTGATAATGAATTTAATTCTGGTTCTGACTCTGAATCCAGATCTAATTCTGGTTCTGAATCAGAATCTGATACCAAGAATGATTTAACTGAGACTGAAATCACAAAAATTATTAATGCTATCAATGCTGTTAAAGCAAAAAAAAAGTAAAGCCTAAGGAACTCAAGATCAAGAAGAAATTCAAAACCTGCAAGATAAAACAAAAGGATACTTCCACTTCTGATAAGTTCAGAAATAAATTAACTTATGAACAGTCTTTTCAAAAGATTATGTTAAATATGCTTAAAAAAGCTTTACTCACGTATTAGTTAGAGAAGCTCAAATTGAAAATAGAAAATTCTTTGACTCTAGTATTACTAACCCAGGTATTAGACTCTAAGAAGTATAGAGAGCCAGCTCTAGAAATTCCTTATTCAGATGAAGAAGATGATATTATAGATGATCCTATAGAAATTGATTTTGTTCACCAAAAGGGACCAGCTACAGATATTGCTATCGCAAAATACAAAATAAAATATCTAATTATTTTGGGTGCTAGTCTCAATTCTTGTGCAAAATTTTTTAGTTATGTCTGAAGATATTGCTAAGCATGCAAAGTTAAAAATTAATACAAGAGAAAAATATGATCTTAGCAGGATTGTTACTATTTCTACTGAATCTATTGATATTATTTGTAATGTATCTGTGATCTTTGTTTCTAACTACACTATATATTCTGATTTTGTAGTAGTTAAGTATTATAAACCAATATTAATTTTATCCAATATACTACTTGATAAATATAATTATGATTTACTTGCATTCAGGTGAGAATTGAAACTTATATGTAATGATAAGGAGTTTTTCATTTCAGTTAATATACATAAGGTCAGGAATAAACTTGAAGTAAATTGTACAACTGTGACTCAAGATAGTAAGTCTTCAATATCTGATCAAATTTCTTAGGAAACAGATAGGGATAAGAATTTACTATTCGAGAAATAGTATGCTTCTGCAGAGTTCAGTCTAAATTTAACTTCTGAGACATAAAAAAAATACATAAATTGTGAGAGGTATGAGAAAAGTCTATATAATACATTCAAATCTATTACCAAACTTAATGATTGTAATGAGATTTTACAAATAAAATATGGAAATATTATTGAGTCTGTTACAGATAAAGAAAATATAAATTAGATAGTAGATTTTATACAAGTACTATTAGCTAAGTTTTTATCTTTTTTTTTATTTTTTCATTCAATCTGATCAATTATATCAATAGAAACATCATCATTTCTAGAATCTTCACTTATTTTTTCTGTTAGGTTTTCATTATTAACTAATATTGAGCTACTGCTAGATATTAGATTAGATATGCGAATAGATTTAGACTGAGATTTAGAACTTCTCTTTTTTATTTTTTTATTAGAGGAAGTAGTAGATTTCAGATATAAAATCTCTCTTTCATCATAAGCTGGCATGATAGTGCCAATTTGGTTAGAATTTTCAGGTAATATATTGAAAGAAATAGTACTTTGTGCTTAAGTTGATCAAGAGTATATCATCTGTTACTTACGTTCACAATTTTTCATATAATCTATAACATGATAGTGATTTATATGATATTTTTTTGCCATTGTATTTATGGTATCAGGTACCATATCTATTGATTCTTTAATTTCTTGAATTGCCTCATCTGATAGATATTTTATATTAGTACTGTAATATTCTTTATGAATATGATCTATATCAGAGTTTTTAAGTATTAAAAAAATAGAAAAAGTTCCAAAATATTTAGTTATATTTATTGAGATATATATTTAAAAATTAAGAATTATTCTGGAATCTTTCAAAATATTTATATGTATTTCATTATATTTAAAGATATTAGTATATATATATATTCTAAAATATTTACATATATTTTAATTTTGATCTAATATGTATCAAGATAATAGCTTCTCTATTTGGTATCTATTAACTAGAATTTTAATATGGGAGTTCACTATATAAATCATATATGAATTCAATCTCCTTATCCTAAAAATTATCAGCATTCTGATATCCTACTTGTTATTTACATTCACAATTTTCTATATATTCTTTAACATGAAAAGAAGATATATGATACTTTTTTGTCATAGTATGAATAATATTAGAGCCCTTACCTAACAAGTTCTTAATTTCTTTAATTGCTTCTTCAGATAAATATGTAGATCTGGCTCTATAATATTCACTAGAGATGTGATTTACTTTTTGTGTCTTATTTATTTTTTAATATATTATCTATTATTTAATATGGCCAATGTGCATACACTATGAAATATTAATAAAGGATGTAGGCTGGATAGTATATGAAAGCAGAAACTTGAAGAATCTTTACACTGCAGTTTAAAGTTTATATTTGAGTTAAATAACTGTAATGAAGAATTATAATCTAAATACTCAAAGCAGATAAAGGATTTTGATCAAGAAAGAAAGAGATAAAATCAAGATTTATCACAAAATAGTGTCAAGATTGAAAAGTTACGTACCTATATCTTACAAGTTATTAATAAGGGTAAGTAACTGCAAAATGAAAATACTAGTCTTATTTCTCAAAATGCTCAAAAAGATCTTTATCTTGCAGATTCAAAGGCTAAGATTACTATAAAATCAAGAAAAATTAGATCGCTCAAGTCTATGATAGAGATATTGAAAGGTAAGTTAGCCTTAGTCCAGAAAGATGTATTTTTGATTCAGAAAGATTCATCAAAAAAAGAATTCAAGATATTATTTCTTAAATCTAAAATAGCTAAAGTAGAACAAATAAAAAATGAACTGGTCTTGAAAGTTAGTGAACTGGAGCATCTGAAATCAGAAGATATATCTAGATCTGTGATTGATAAAGATGATAAAAAAAATATACAAAGTAAGAAATATACTTTCCTATCAAATTCTGATGAAATATCTATGATTAGTGAATCTAATAAAAATCTTAGTAAATATTTAACATGCAAAAAAAATATGAAAGAGATTGAAAAAATCAATGATAAGATTACTAAACTACCAAAAGATAATACCAAGAATATTTCTAAAATAAATAATAAAACTAATATTATTGAAACTAGTAAAGATATTATGTTAGATATATCGATAAAACCAGATATATTATCAATTATACCTGAAAATATGATCTCATATCTTGCACAATGGAAAAATTATACCTTCTCTCTGATCAAAATTATATTTTCAGATTTTGATAGAAAAAATAAAAGTGATTCTTATTGTGGCAAGTATTTTAATATCACTACTATCCACATATTTCTTATCTTGTTAATTATTACCATTATGTGATTTGTGATATTAAGATATATATAGGAATTGAAAAGGAAAAGTAATCAGTTATGAAATATATGGATCAGGTATTAGGAACTGGCTATTTAAATTTTGAAGTTATTTATAACAGAAGAATATAATATCTTTTTAACCATGTCTAATATTTGTTGCAGTTGTAAAGAAATATCTCCATCATTATATCCAGATTGCATTGTTACATGCTCCTTTATGATGGTGGAAATAAGATTTCATGATGATTATAAATTTAAGAAATCAGATATCATCACTTTTAAACTGGAATCTTCTAATGCATATGATAAAAATGTGATAAAAGTTATGATAGATGGAGCTCATAAAGCCTATGTGATAAAGAATGAGAATGTAAGTATAGGAGATTTGATGAGATACTATCCTCATTATTAGGTAAATATCTATGAGAAAAAGAACTATAACCAATCAGCATCTTTAAATCTCAAATATTCTTGGATGGTCTGTAGAAAATATCATGATATACTATAAGTATCAAGAGATTATAACTATAGTTATTAGATTTAATGATCTCATCATATTTTTATGTAGAAATAAAACTTAGGTAAATATTATAGAGTGTTTTATATTACATAATTTTAGATCTTTAAGCTAATTATTCATCTTTTTTACAATTATTTTTTCCTCCTCTATATCAAATAGTTCTTTCAACAAAAAGTGCAAATCATCAAGAGTTAATTTTTTATAATTATCTAATAATAAAGCAGATTCTGAGATGAAAATATTATCTCATCCTATTTGTTGATTTATTAAATGAGTTGCTAATAGATTTGCAGGTAGTTTTTTATTCTGATCATTATCATCATAAAATAAAATCAAATGAAAATCTTTTGATCCAAAAATTATTACATGATCATTATAATTACTTTGTAGTATTTTACTAATATCTCCTTTTTTAACATTAACTTATTTTATTTCTGAAGAATCATGTATGGGTATATATATTCCTTGAGAAATTTCTTCTATAATAAGCTAATATTAATTTGATTAACTTTAAATACCTGAATTTTTGTGTCATCTAATTTAAGATGACAGGCTGTTGGGATAAAACATATAAAAGCTTGATTTATAAAAATCCAGATTGAACATTGAAGATTCAGATTTTTGTACTATGGAATTTTGATCAAAATAAAGTTCTGGATAAGTACTTCTAATATAGGAGGTAAGGTAAATTGCGGAAGGGTGAGACCTGGAGTTACATAGTCTTGGAAATCTGATATATAAGATAAGGTAAGTAGTTATGTTACAAAATATATGAAATATTTGATAACCATTTTTGTGTTGTATATTTTTGATCAAGATACAGTTTTAAGTATGTGATATATGGTAGGTTATCAAAGTATCTTAATTGAATTTTGTATAATACTAATTATACAACTAGTCAAAATATGAATAAAATTATTGATACTTTATATTAGCAAGCTAAAAATGAAAGCAAATCCAAGTATTGTACTGCTAATGAAGGAGATACATCAAGTATATATAGTAATAATTCTGTTAATTTATATCATTTATATTTAATAAAACAACAAGAAGCTATACAAGAACTTTTTTGATCATTAGGTTTTATTGATATAAATGATATGTGCATTCTTTCTGGTAATACTATAACTAAAGTATTCGAATAATCACAGGAAAAAATTATTAAAATTCAAGAAGATGCATTATTACTCTTTAGTTTTAGATCTTAAGCTAAAGATATTCTCAATCTTAATGCTACAGTAAAATTTATTAATGCAATAGCAGGTAATTGGTGTGGCTACACTATAAAAAGTAGTAGAAAAAAGAAAGATTCTAGAAAATATCAAGTTTGGAAATATACATATTAGATTAATCGACAGTCATATAGAGATAACAGAAAAGTTTAAATATTTGAATACATATTACAAAGTTAATAAAAGATAAAAATTCAGCACTATGTATCTCATTCTCAAATAATATTTAAGTGTATCAAATAAGTAAT